ATGAAATGGGGAAGATATTTATTGAAGAAGTTATTCAGCACACGAAATGTTTGAGTAAAACATTTAATCAGTATTTTCCAAATGAACAGCAGATTAAATATCAAAATGAATTGAGGATTGAAAACACATTTATTACCTACGAACAATCTTCGACCGTGTCAGCAGAAGAATAAGAAGCTTATTTAAATTACATTTGATACATCATTGCAAGAAAATTTTAAATTCATACCGTTAGTGGAATTCTGGTGCAGTCTAAAAAAGGAATATCATAACTTGTCAAAAAGGCCATGTTGGCACTTTTGCCATTTGCAAATACATGAAGCGGAGTTTCTAAGCTGTATGTGTAACTTCTAAAGATTTTCTTTGTAAAAATTGCTTAATAGAGTCAATACAATATCTTTTTTAAAAATGATTTTGAATAATATTATTTAATTTCTCAGTACAATATCTTTTTTTAAATGTTGTTTAATAACATTATTAAGTTCCTTACCTAACAAGAAATAAATTAGTTACGCATGGACATTAATCAGTTGAATTTTGCTTAACTTTGTAAAAAAATGAAATAAAGTATTTACTTTCTTCTGGACATTGAGTAGTTTTAGTTAACCATATTTCATACGTATATTTTATTTATATACGAGCCGCATCACTCACCTGCGAGAGCCGCAGGCGGCTCGCTCACCGCGTTATGTCTATCCCTGGTATATTCTAATAGATGATGTGTTAGTCCCTTGGAATCTGCAGCTACTGTTTTATTTACAGTAAAAAAAAATAAGCATCAAGATAAATTTAGTAAAATTTTTATAAGATTTGAAAAATGGCATCATGGAGTGCATGCAAGAAAGCGCTTAAACTACTAAAAAAAAACAAGCAAAAACTCCTGTATTTCAAGATATGAAATTTCATAAGACTACAGAATGCCATTTAAGTCACATCTGAGATTAGTTAATTAAGACCTTAATTTGGAAGATTCTCTCTCGTTATAATAAATGATGAACATGTATTAAAATACATTAATGATATTTCTTTTCTACATCATTAAGCAAAATTATTATTCAACTGCCCGAATTATTTCTCTTATCATCTAAAGCTATAATTAGATGCATGAAGAGTCATTTAAATTTAAGTAGTTTTCTCAATAAAGATATCTTTAATATTGAAGCATAATTAATAATTTCATAAAAAGGGTTCCCACTCGGATATGAATCTAGAACTTCATATTTCGAAAGGTAAGGATGCTCTTAAACCAGAGTTACCGAAACAAGTAACTGGCTTTGGATGTTTTCTTCTAAAGGATGAAACTCAAAAATGTAACCTTTATAGCGTCAGATGCTTTAAATCCAAAATCTGAATCAGTGCCTTTCAGCTCCTTTAAGCTCGTTCACACTGGGGAACTAATGGAGTTGTTTCCATGCATCTACTAGCTCTGCCATATAAGAAGTTCAAATTTTCCAGTTGAAGGGAAACTAGTTTTCTCGTCACTTGGAGAAGTCGCCGTTAGTTCCAAAAAAAAAAAAAAAAAAAAAAACCCAGTGAAGCTTAGATGAAACTTAGCCTGAGCTAGTGTGAAACCAAGTTTCCCTTTTCTGTTTAGGAAAGTGATATGCCCCGGCCAAGGGTCACAGCATTGCTTGACCTCTTCTCTTTCAAGAGTACATCTTAAGAGACGCAATAAAGGGCTCGTCTGTTTAAATCAACTTTTTCTAACTTCACTTATTTCCATTCTCAGCTCAATTTTAGTGAGATGTTGAACAAATAAACAAATTTATTTTAACCTTTGCTTTGCAAATTTCAAACAAACGGAAAGGTGCTTAATTGATAGCTCTATAATGCAATTAACAACTTCGCGTAATTATTTTCATTACCAACAGAAAATTAAGAAGTTAAAAGCAACACCTTTAATATTTCTTAATTTAAGGAATTTAAAGAATTCGCCCTAACATCTGTTAAAGTAATTTGAACTTGAATCCAACTTATACCTCTAAAATAATATCTTCAAGAAAGAATATTATGAGGAAAACGTTTTTAATAGTGGATTGTCTGCAGTTGCTACGCAAAAGTTCATTTGTAAACTGTTCATAATAACTTTGTGAATTATTTGACCAATGCTGTATCCCTAATCTTAATTAATTAATAAACTTTATCCTTTACAAATAATTCTTCAGCTTTCTGTTGCATCAATAGACCGTTGATTTCTACATCTTTTTCACAAACACTGGTAAACCAAACCTTCAATGATTTCATTTTGATCTTCCTCGTTATGCATCCGTTTCAAGCTCATACTTCGATTTTATTTTGGTTTATAAAATAATATTTTCACTATTCTTTAAAACCTGTAGAGTCATTAGGGATTTTGTTGCTGTAGACGTGAAAAATGAGCAATTCACTCACCGGGATCCAAATTCCAGAGCTCTCGAATACGCGTCAAGTGTGCTTCCAGTTACACCACGAAGGCATGCGGAAAGAAGAGAGAAAATATCTTACAAATCTAGGGTAAGAACGGTTGAAAAACATTTAACATAAGAGTAACATTCAGTTAACTCGTTTTCGGGAGCTGGGCATAGTGGCCTAACAAGTCGACTATATTTCTTAGACTCAGGTCATTATGCTAGTAATCTCCGTGATAAAAATGACTAAATAGTTTTAAAAAATGACAGCTTCCTGAAACACAACATTCATAAAGATCTAAAGCTCAAAACACTGCAAAGAAAATTTTGGGCGCAAAGGTGAGTTCATCTAGAATGCAGCTTCGTTAAACTAGTTAGTCCAGGCGCTCTTCGTAAGACTTGGAAAACGGTTCCCTTTAAATATGGTTCAATTAAATCAAAATAAAGCTATGTGGCGACTTAATCCCTTACATGGGAACATATCATTTGGCAATTACTCTGCTATATCCCAACTTATTTAATGATTTTAATTTTTATATGGCGAATTTACTTTGGTTTACAAATTTATTCTGTAATATTTTCATCTCTATAACCGACTTGTTCATTACAATAAAAGCTATAATTAGATGCATGAAGAGTCATTTAAATTAAGTAGTTTTTCTCAAAAGATATCTATTGAAGCATAATATAGTTCATAAAAGGTCCCACTCGGAATGATCTAGACGTCATTTCGAAGGTAGGATGCTCTGAACCAAGTTACGAAACAAGTCGCTTGGTGTTTTCTCAAGGATGACTCAAAAGTACCTTTATAGCGTCAGATGCTAAATTCCAAAATCGAATCAGGCCTTTCACCCTTTAAGCTCTTCACCATGGGAAATAAGGGTTTTTCCATGCATCGACTAGCTCTGCCATATAAGAAGTCAATTTTCCATTGAAGGGAACAGTTTTCTCTCACTGAAAGTCTCCCGGATTCCAAAAAAAAAAAAAAAAAAAAAAAAAAAAAAAACCCCATGAAGCTTAATGAACTTAGCTGAGCTAGTTGAACCAAGTGTCCTTTTCTGTTTAGGAAAGTGATATGGCCCCGCCAGGGTACAGCATTGCTGACCTCTTTCTTCAAGTTTTCAAGAGTATGCATTTTCCATGTTTTACATAGAAATGGAAGGAACTTTGAGAATTTGATAGCAATATCCGAATGATAACATTAATCACGATTACATGAAGCGGAGCCTGCTGTACTTTTATTTGTCAATCATTCACATATTTTACAATTCAGCATTTGAAAATGAGTAATGGGGGGATAGGAATGCAAACCAAAGAGGTGAGCTGTGCAACAAAAGGAAGAAATACTTCACAAAAGTTTTCGTAATATTTTATTAATTAAATATTTTTGCGTTTAACTTACGGTTCTATGAATAATGCGAAAAACTGCTTGCTGAAAATGTCATGCACAGAACTTGCTGGTATATGTTTTAATATATTTATACAATTATTTAAAAGAATTCTACTACGAGACATGGCTCTACATAAATGAATTACAAATTTTTCAGACGGACAGTCCAATCAATTGCTAAAACTTTGCTCATTTGAAGGGAAAAAGTGGAATTCAGAAAGATATAATTTTTTAAAAAATATTAGATAAGCAGTTTTAAATTAATGTAGTATAAAAAAATTTTTTATTTTTATAAACCAAAATTATAGTATAACTGTATGGAAATACTATATTAATATGTCGATGTCAAAATTTACAGATATTATTTGATTCACAAAAAGCCTTTTTTTTGGGGGGGGAGGGGTTAAAAGCCATATTTTTCTGCACCACGAAAACCAAAGTTGTATTGACATACATTTCTGACATACCGCATTTCCTTGCATAGTTCCCACCTCATGTATTTATTTTCTTAGCTATTAAGCCCTAATTTCTGAAAATTTTATAAACATTCGCGTAATTTTCGTCTTCCTCAATGCGTTCAAAGGATGAGCTCACCTACATTTTAAAATGGATTTTTCACGTAATGATTGTTTCGTCTTACTAACAAAGACAAACCCTCGCAAACTACCTGAGAGGGTCATGCCAAACCTTTCTCTGCTAAATGTTGAACTTTATGCCAGCCTAATACAAGAACCGACAATCACAGCGAAACAAAGACGAACTTACATTCAGCCTATGATTTTGTTGAGTCAGCTGCACATCCACCTTCTCTAATTATTTATGGATGGTTTGAAGCCTAAGGAACAGCAGAGACGAACGGAATTCAAGTTACAGGAAAGTAGAAATGAAGATATTAGATTCAGTAATAATATTATATAGTCTTATTGGAATGTTGATTACTTTTACAGAAATAATATTGTGATAGTTACCTGTAGTTTATAAATGAATACCTTTCATTTATTATGTTCTTACTGTAACCGCGTTCTTCGGAAATTAAATTATTCGCAAAAATTTTTCCCTTTTGATTTTCGAACGATAAAATCAGTTTAAAAAAAAAGGGGAATGTGCGAGGATGTACGGTATGATTATAATTTTCAGTAAACTAAAAGGAAGCTGGCTAGACCAATATCCAACCATCAGTTCAGTTTCTATATTAATAACATCAAGGGAAAAAAAAAACCTACCACATCCAGACATATTAACTGAAAGTCCATTTTCATAGGATGATTGTTCATGAGGCCTGTAATGGGAAGAACTTCCGTGCTGGCTGCTCATAGCCATATGTTCATAGTGTCCATTAGGTCGTGGACTGGATAGATCAACAGGATGACCTTCATAAGTCCCACTACCTCTTGATTCACCTTGAGGATGGCCCATATGGTGACCATTCATTTGCATATGATTCTGAGAGTGATGAGATTCACTGATATTAATCATCATAGATGGATGACGGTGACTTTCAGCCTGAAAAGACAAAGCTAAAATTAAAGATTTTTTTTTATTTACTTTGCCAGGAAAAATTTTACTTCTTGAAGAGACAAACCTAAGGTCTGTATCAGATTGCCCCGAAATAAAAGTTTTCTCCAAAATTAAGGTTTGAATTTCACTTAATTTTAAAGATAAAGTAAACCCCAATTAGGAATTCTTATCGATACATGAATTAAATTTAAAAGCAATACAAGGATGGCCAAAAGGAGCAAATAAATTAACTGTGTTCACCTGGCTAGGGAGGCTATATACTGCCATGCTAGATGATGAAGTTGGAGCTGCGCTGGACAACGCAGTTGAATATTGAGGTAGAGACATCGCATTGTTCATTCCATACTGTCGACCTTCTTCACTCTGGTAACTCTGATTAACGCCATAGCCGTATTGCTCTTGCTAAATTAAAAAAGAAAAAGGTGGTAAAATATACTAAAATATTTTCCAGTAGTTGTCTAAAAATAAATAATGGGAAAATATATTAAAATATTTTAAAATAATGATTAATATAAGTAAAATTACATAAAACATTTTCCTTCCCCACTTGTCGAAAGATAACAATGTAAACACATAATTATAGTTATAATTCAAGGAAATATATCAAATGATTTAATAAGCTTATCACTTCGCTCGAACTGTTTCGATGAATGCAGATAAGTAATGCGAAATTTGATACAAATTTTCAAAAACTACTTCCAAGAAGTGCGATGCTCTACGAAAAAAAGGAATGAATAATTTATAAACGTGATAAAAAATAAATAAACATTTCAGAAAATTACAGAAAATTTTCGATTCTTCGTCCGCATCATGATAATAAATAGTATTACGCTAAACAAGATGGAGTTGTTATCAAATGCACAGTGTACGTAAAAAAGAATAATTTCTGTTATAGATTTGTTGCAGGAAACAATTTAACTACTACACTTTTACCTACTTTTACCTTTACATCAAATTAAACTTTTACTGAAATTTCTTTTTTTCACAATACGTAAGATCTAAGTAAAATTGTTCTGTCACGTGACAAACATGAAGTCCGAAGTCCATTTCAATTCATACGCGTTGAAGTGTAACCTGTGTGATTGATGCAATTACAGGGATAATAAAGATTTTGAGTTCATTATGGTCGGATGACATTAGAGACACAGAAATGATACCTTCAACATATATCTTCCCCTCCCCCAATCAATAGTCTCAAGGACTGATATCTGTCGAATTTGAGAGGCCAGTCGAGAAACGCATTGTTAATTACTCCTGTGGACTATAGCCTGGATATATGAGGCATATTAAGCAACTACAGATTTAGTATTACTTAAACGCGAGGACAATTTTTTTAATCATTTTATTTTCACGTGAAAGTATAGGCCTTAATCTACTTTTCGATAATTTCCAGTTACATAAAGGTAATTAGCACATCATATGGTCAGCTTCTGAATTCCATCTCATAGAAAACTGCTGCCTGATTTAACAGCTATTTCACAGTTTCATTCAGAAAATATCTTGGAATTTGAGGAAGTTTTAGAGAATGATAAAATCGTAAAGCATCTGTTTCTTGAACTTTTCGTTAACTCTCTGCAGCAGGTCATCATGAATAACGACAGTCGCCCGCTTCATCGTTCATTATCAGGCGGTAAATTTCTGTAACACTTACGTAGTTAGGAATGGGCATTAGGACAACAGCCCCCAAGAAATGAGCATTTAAGTTAAGAGCTAAAACTTTGCCACTGTACCTTGATTAATATATTTAATATCTAGAGAATGTAGAACTTAGTTCACGGGGACTCTTGGCCTAATGGCCATTTCTATCTAAGTAAGTGTTGTAGCAAGTTAATCCTTCCATAAGAAATAAAAAGCAACTAAATAGCAAGATCTAAAAATTTACTTACAACTTGCTGTTATATGGTTGACCTAAAAGTACAACACGAAATTTGACAGGCTCCCTCATTGCAGAAAATTAACACTTTTAAAAGTCACAGTTTAACGGCTCAAACAATTTGATATCAGGAAATTCCTATCAATTAAACCTACCTTGTAAGGTTTATTTAACTCAGTATTTTTATGTAATATCTCTCCTGCACTTCTACTCGTTTGTCTACTCCACCAGAAAATGTAAACTAAGTGATATTTAAATAGGATCGAGAATCCGAGCTTACGAGAGAGGATTTGCACAGTCTGTCTGTTGTGGTGATAATTCTCTGTTACTCTCTGCCTTTAACCCTTAGAAAACCGAACCCTTCGCTAACTTGCAGGCTTAAAATACCGAAACGCCCGTCTCCGTCCATTACCCGTCCCGTCCGTTTTCTCCCTTTCTCGTCCATTAACGCACAAAGAAGTGTAAATATTTCAAAGGACATCATTTTCTACATCCTGAGGAAGATGCTTCCATTAGCCTTGTAGGACATGCTGTCTGCAATAAACTGATACAATGCATTTGAGGAAACCGCACCTGATACTGCATAACTTGGGGGGGGGGAAGAAGTTTTGAAAGTTTCTCGAGAGTTTTGGCCTTCAAAGGGTTAAAGCTGTTGCTACGAGCTGGTGAAGGATCTTTGACTGAAATTAAATTAGTAGTCGAGGAATATTAGAGCCAGATTATTAGTCCAGAAGGGCTATTAGTCTCGAAACGGTATTTTGCGTTGAATCACTTAAATGGGATATATCACTTTTCAAATTGTTGCCACCAAATATGATCGTCCTGTATTATATTTAAAGAAACTAAACAATGAAGAATCTGCATAAATGTATGTATATTTTTCGCATTGTAAAAAACAACGTTATCTTGAGTCATCAATAACATCGTCCTCCGCCCGAATATGGGCACCTACTTGGCAGCCCGAATTTGGAATTTGTTTTATTGTCTTTTTCACATTTTGTAAAACTTTAACGAATTTTTGATTAAAAAAACTCAACAATTTCAAAGAGAGCAGTAGCAGAACTGTACGGAATTATTTATCTCCAGCGCGCGAGACTGTGTATCGAAAATTTTAAAGATAAGTTGCTTTTAAATATTTTTAGCCCAAAGTAGCTTTAGCCCAAATGCTTTCAAAACGCGTCTGTAAATAGGGGGGAGGGAACCGCCCATTTGGACGTAATTTAAAATCTGAATGCTTTCAGATATTATTTTTTTTAATTAGGCTTTAAATTTAAACTTTGACTCACTGCGCTTCTCGAGTCTCAAACAGCGGAAGTTAATTTTGCTAATTGTTTTAGCTCTGCAGTTTCAAGTTGAAGTACAAAATAAACTGTTAGTTGCCTTGTCGTAACTGTTACTGTTAATTGCATTGTCGAAGAGTGTCGAAATGTAAAGATAGGACGATGATTTGTCTGACAGTCTTAGAAGAGCGATCATCAAATTCTTTGATCGCGCACTCCTAAGACGAAAATAGTCATAAACTGCACCCAATATAATATTATATAATATAACAAATATATATATATATGTGTGTGTGTGTGTGTGTGTGTGTGTCTACAGTTAGAAAACAAATTATTCATTACTTATATATTTTAAACAATATACATACATTTAAATTAAATTACAAATTTACATTTTGAATTAGAATTTAATATGAGCAATGCGATTGCATTTGTTTAGTAACATAAGAAAAGTCTGTTTTGATGCTCTTTGTTAATGCAATTCGAAGATTTGGTTCTAATTTTTTTCTGTATTTAGTTTCAATTGTTATCAATGCAGAAAACGCTACTTCCTAAATGTATGTAAAACCAAACGGTAATCACGCATTCATTCTGAACTTACTAATTCTGAATATTCAGGATTCAATCCCATCCACAATTTATGAAGAGATTTTTCTTTAAATTAGGATTGTAAAGTCGTTCTTTCTCTCACGCCAGTTACCTGTTTTTGAGCTCCAATCAAAAGACGATCTACTTTTATATGTTCAGAAAATTAGTTCATGAGCCACTGACACTCTTTTTACTAAAAAGATATATAAATTAGTTACAAAATTGGTTACAAAGTGATGGTTAACCTAAAGCTTTGGGGAACACCCAGGTATCCCTTTGTGTACGCCACTTTGAAGACCACTAATTTAGAAGATTAGACAAGTATATAGATTAAGACAAATCGAGTTTAACTTAATAAACTTTCACTTCCCCTAGCATAAGATCCCCGACTCATGGCCTACAACAAAACAGGAAAAACTTTCTAACAGCCAGTAATATACAGCATAACTTGTAGCTAAGAATCTTACTCTCGCCTACTGTTATTTGCATAAATTTTTGGATTAGAAGAATGAATGCGACGGAAGCCAAGAACAAATGCCATTTGTGGAACGAAATCTTGTATTGTTAAGTTTTGACAACCAATATCTGCAAGTAGTGCTTTCTTTTTCCCCAGTAACATATTCTGTTCTGAAAAGTGTTAATAATGCTGACTGTTCAAGAATCACTGCAAACGGTGTTTTCCAAAGACTGCAGAGGCTGGTCTCGAACAGTCAATAAATCATATCCTTGCCAATCGTAATATGTGCATACCTAAACTACGCTGGAAAAGTTTATACTTTATACTAAATCGTATAGTGCGTTGCAAGCTTTAGAAACATTTTACGACACCTAGAGCAATATAGTCGTTGAAGTTTTAAAGCTAAATTTAAACTTAAATTTGGAGCCGCCATGGTTATCAGATTCTTTACTGATTGGTTCCCTGACAAGTAAGAATAAAAGACCGAGCTAACAATCATTGCAGCAAAGTATGCTTTTAAATTGTCCTATCAGCTCATTCCTTTTCGAGATGTCAAAAAAGTCATTAAGCTGAAAATCCCATTGTGAGATGTCAGGTCAGTAACAAGCTGAAAAGCTTAAAACCTATACTGGGAATAGAAGGAGGCAATTAGAAATCGGAAGGAGGAAGTCCTCTCGACTCTCCTTTTAGAATCAATCACTCTCGACTTACGCATAGTTGAAAGCCTATTTGTTGAACGTGTAATGATATTCTAGCAGTGCATCATATTTTAATAAACTGCCCAGATTTTATGAAGCATTTTAATAGCTGTGAAGCAATTCTTGGATAGATTGGTCGAAAAACAGGTCAAAAATACTTTATTTCTTTATTTAAGATTGACTTCACTACGCAAGTTATCTAGTCTGAATTTATTTTAAAATTGCTTAATACGTATACTGTGTAATTTATAGCATTTTATATACTGTGATTTTACTTGGTTTTATACCTATTTTTATTTTTTGTGCTTCATTCATTTCATTTGCTTCATTAATCAGTTGCCAGGAATTTCTTTAAATTATTTTTATTATTTTATTCTCTCATCATATACTATATGTTTGGAGTATCATAACCTTTTAGGTTATGTGCCATAAATATCTATAATCCAATCCTTATAAATACATTTTTTTTTTACGCAGGTCGCATCGATAATACTGCCAACGGCTGA